TTTTTTAAGAAGTACTATGGGAGAAAAGTAGAACTCAATGAAGTTCTAGAACCATAAAATATACTAGACAATGGATGGGATGATGTGCCATAGAAGGTGGGTGAACATCATGAGAAGGTTACTCCACAAGCTGTGGATCAAAGTGAACCACCTTAGGTAGCACAAAGAGTACACCATGAGCCTGAGAGATACGGTTATCTCGTGACTCAACATGGTGACGTACTAGTCTACCAAGACGATGAACCAGAGACCAAGGAAAACGTATATTAGATCCAGATTCTATTAAATGGCTAAAGCCATGAAATTTGAGATGGACTCCATGTACTAGAACCAAGTATGGTCTCTGGTGGAACCACCTGAAGAGGTAAACCCCATAAGGTGTAAATGGGGTTTCAAGAGAAGACTGCATGGGGCAAGGTGCATACTTATAAAGCACGACTGGTTGCCAAAGGTTTCAAACAAATTCAGGTGATTGACTATGAAGAAACCTTTTCGGCGATTGCCATGATTAAATCCATCCGGATTATGCTTACGATTGCTGCATATCATGACTATGAGATTGGCAACGGATGTCAAAATAGCTTTCCTAAATGGAAACCTTGAAGTAGATGTGTATATGACACAACCATGGTTTCATTCTTGATGGGCAAGTGATAGGGTATGCAAGTTGCAGAGATCCATTATGGACTCAAGCAAGCTTCAAGGAGCTAGAATATTTATTTTGATGAAGCTGTAAAGAATTTGGTTATCAAGAACGAAGATGAGCCTTGTGTTTACAAGAAAGTAGAGTGGGAGCAACAGTGACATTCCTGGTGTTGTATGTCGATGACATACTTCTGATAGGTAATGATATACTGAACTTGCAGTCAGTAAAGACTTGGTTATCCAAGTGTTTCTCCATAAAGGACTTAGGGGAGCAGCCTATATCTTTGGAATAAAGATCATCGTGATAGATCGCGTAGGTTGCTTGACCTAAGTTAGAGTGCATATACTAACAAAGTACTGAAAAGATTCAGTATGGAAGAATCTAAGAAAGGATTTCTTCTGATGTCACATGGTGTTTATCTCTCTAAGGAATTGTGTCCTATAACACAGATGAGAGAGATAGGAGAAGAGGATCCCATATGCATCAGCATTGGACCATCATGTATGCCATGCTATGTACTCGGATTGATGTCTTATGGCTTTTTGCACTTGCAGTAGATATCAATCGGATCCAGTGAGCGTCACGGATGTCTATCAAGAATATTCTTAAGTACTTGAAGAGGACTAAGGATATGTTCTTGGTTATGGAGGGGAAGATGAGCTCACATAAAGAGGATACAGTGATGCTAGTTTCCAAACGGACAAAGATGATATTGATCGCAATCAGGGTTTGTAGTTTATTCTCAATGGGGGTGTAGTGAGCTGGAAGGGCTCCAAGCAAAGCACTGTCGCAGACTCTACAATGGAGGCTGAGTATATGCATTGTCAGATGCGACAAGGAGGCAGTTGGATTAAGAAGTTCGTTATTGAACTAGGTGTGGTTTCCATGATTGTTAATCCAATAGACATCTATTGTGACAACATAGAGCAATCACTCAAGCAGGGAACCACGGTTTCATCAAAAGTCCAGACACATACTCAGACGATTCATCTCATCAGAGAGATAGTTGAGAGGAAAGATGTGCAAATTAGTAAAGTGCATACTAACAACAATCTCGTAGATCCACTGACAAGCCTCTTGTCGTAGTAGAAGCATGAAGGCACTTGAGATCATTTGGTTTTAAATACATGAAATGATGGTATAGTACAAGTGGGAGATTGTTAGAGTAGATACCCTAGAGCCATCAATTATTGTAGATTAACTCTTTGTATAATGTTCATTGATCAATAAAGGCTTTATACTATATCGCGTAAATCATCATTGTATGTATTGATATATGTCCTTAGAATGGTAGAACCGTGACGACGGTATCAAGTGTTTCAAATCTTTATAGTGAGAACCCTATGAGCACATATGTTGGCCATTCTAAAACATCATAGCCCTAGTATTATTCTGAAGTAAGGGCACAGATAATACAGTAAGGCTATCATAGTGTTTTAACGACTCTGTTGAAAGGCAGTGAGTGATGATCTCACTTGTTAAGGTTGTTTGGTGACAACCTTGTGCAACACATGGGTGCTTGCATAGGCAAGTTCACTGGACTGACCCACTAGAGGATTCATATGGATGGTAACCCTAGTGTATGGAACAAATCCTCTAACGAAGGTGGTGCATGTGATCCTTAGACTTGAGGATCACCGGAGCGCCTTGTTTACCGATTGGTGTAGTTTGACACTAGCCTAACGCAATTCTATTCAGAGCTATCAATACGGTGGTGATTGACGCTTAAGGAGTGTATCAAGACTATGATAGATAGACGAGGATTCATCACTCCCGGGTACGGGAGAAGTTATCTCATGGCGCAATTCAGTAAATGGCAAGACACTAAAACTGTGGCCACAGTGGGATTGAGTTATTGCTCTATCCAGTTTATAATAAGTCATTGGTCCAGTAACTGAATACACAATATCGAGAGTAACTGAAGGTTGACACTTTCTATGCCTCGGTCTCCGTCGAGTAATAGATGATGAAAGGACGAATTGTACGGTGACCATATCATTGACAGTAGTACTTCACTGAATCGAATCTATCGGTGGCCATGATGCCTTGCTAGGGGCCATCTTGGTCTGTGTTTAGTGAGACGATTAATTGGTATTAATCATGTACGACACACTACCGGTATGATAAGGAACCTAGGGTCACACCATAGAAGATAATTTAAGAGCAGCTTAGAAGAAGGGCGTTTTTGTCTTTTTAGGCAATTAATTTGCTGAGGTTATAGCCTTTATTTAATTTGATATTAAAATTAATAAGTGAGATTACGTTAAATATGTGTTCGCATATATTAAATAAATTATCATTATTGTAAATGTTAATATATGTATTAATTGAATTAATTAGATAATGATAAATTAAAATTAAAATATCTTAAAGGGATGTTTGGATAGAAAGGGTGTTTGGGTTAGAGCCCAAGCCCAATCCTTATGGAATAGGGTATAGTGTGCACTATATAAGTGCTCACTTTGTAAAATACTTTAGCTCTTCTCTTCATTCATTGAAAGAAAAAAATTCCAGCCCCTTACACACTCTCAAGCCAATTTTGCTTTTTGCTAAAAATCAAATACACTTTGATTTCTTCTTGGTTCTTAAAGGCTAAAGAGGATCTAGCAATCCCTCTGCGTTCCTTGAGGTTATCTTCGTGTGGACTACATAGTTCGATCTACACTTGGGTCGGTAGTGAAATATGTTCAGAGACAGTTGGAGAAGCCTCCAAACGTGCGTTGATTTCTTAAACTCTAAACTAAAATCTGCAGATTCTTATTTAATATATATAAACTGTAAATTTGTGCCCTGATCTGGTTCTTTAGAGCGATCATGTCATAAATATTTTTGTTTTTCGCTGCGTAACTGGATCGTTTACTAACGTTACCACAAGTGAAGGGAATGGTCCTATGAAATCAATGCCCCAAACATAAAAATTCTAATAATTAAATAGGGTTCGTGGCATTTGATTTCTATGGCCATATTACCTGTACTGTAACCCCCGTACCCTTTGTGTTTACGTATGTTGTATATAACTTATATTGGTAGACTTTTGCATGTTTTCTCATTTTTTTTAATGTTGGATGAATGAAAAGATTTTGCTGGTTGGTTGTGAAATGCCTTTTGTAGTACGTTTATTACTGGAGTGGTTTGGATTGGAAATTTGTATTAGAAGTCATATTGGTTTTGGGTTGGTTAATTGTATATCACGCATATGCATAAAATGTGTTGAATGGAGTTTGGTGGAATATTATGTGTGTGATTCTTGATTTGAGTTGATAAAAAGAAATCCAATCGATTTGGTGGGATTGGTTTGTCTGATTGATAAACGGAAGTGTTTTGGTTAACTTGAGGTGTGAAATGGTTTGTGTGGAATGTTCACTCTTGAGTTGTTTTTTGCAATGTGAAAGTGTAGAAAAATTCAATCACTTGGGTTATAAAAATTAATGTTTGGTGTTATTGATATTTGGTGATTGGTTTGGAAAGGGACTTTCCATGTTGTAATTTCAGTTGAGTTGAAATGTTGCTGGGAATGGGGTGAAAAAGGGGGGTGAACTGCTAGTTTTTAGAAGTTTTGGTCCAAGTGAAAAGATTTAATACCTTGGGACTATACAAAATTTTATAGATTTTGGCTCCGAACAGAAGAAAGTTTTCGTCGAGGCAATGCACATTTTGGAATTTGAACTAAATTGTATGTTTTGAAAGTTTCTGTATTTGGGGTGTAAGTGCAAATATTCAATCTATTAGGACCTTATAAGATATTGATAATTTGGGGTCTTTTGTGATAAAAATCTGATGTCTCAGGGGCTTTTGAAATAGTGCAAAAATTAAGGGGGGAAATTGATGTTTTCCACTCACAAACTTAAATCCAGTTTCAGTCGATTGGAAGGAGAAAGAAGGGAAGAAAAAGAAAAGAGGAAAAGGGAAAGGAGAAGAGAAAGGAAGAAGGAAAAGAGAGGAAAAAAGGGTGGTTTTGACCCGATTTTCATTAGGGAATCGACTTTTTGGCATGCATTGTCCAGGGAGAAGGAGAAACCAGCTTTTTGAGGGCTTTCGTTTTTGGGACAAGCTTCACGGAGTGAGCGGAAAATCCAAAACCTGAACTTTATTTTAGCAAAAATTATACAAATCATTTACTCTAGTATTATTGATGTTGTAATTCTTATCGAAATTTCCAGAGCCTATCCCGACGAGATAGAAGCTGAAGCAATGTAAATGTATTGGATGACTAGAAGCAGACCCGAGATTAGTCCCTTGGTACACAATTTCAACTGCTTCACCATACTTGATCTTCCTCGCCTTTGTGCCTTGGGCTGTGTACTCTGATACGTTCGACACATCTCCTGTGAAGTTGAATATAAAGGGTGGCTGACTTGGGAAACCTCTGTCGAAAACATTGTTGAAACTCCTGCAAAAAATTTTAGGTTTTAGCATATCGCAAAATTGAATATCATAAAGTTAATTGAAAGCTCTTACCCGTAGTATGCTCCCAATATATCAATTTGAGGAGTATCAAAACTAACATTGTTTAAACTTGCAGCTGTCCTATCACCGGAGTCAGTATCACATGAACTGTTGGGACACAACAAACTGTTTAAAGAAACCGCTATAAAGATTTTCGTGGTGATATTTTTTGGAACATTGACGGGATGTTCTTTATTTGCTAAGCTCTTTATTCTTTTAGTGAAGTTTTGCGCAGCATCCATGTCATTGTAAGCAGGAAGAGGTGGGAAGAAAGGAGATGAAGGGATTGAATAATTGCCTTCATATTGAACGATTGCGGTGGCGGTGGAGTTGGCAAATGTGACAACACTATCATGGTAATAGTGGCTAAGATTTTGGTTAGCTGTGAACAAAACGTCCATTGTTTGTCCAGGAGTTATCATTGTGTAACTGGTATTTATTGGTTTTATGTGTGCAGCATCTTGCGCAACAACTGTAAGGCCGTGATTCGCGATTCCTAAAAATTGTTCTTCGTTCATCACAGCATTCACAATGCGTAGGAGATAAGTTTTATTGTACTCAACCAGAAGGCGATAGGTTGTCTCTGCAAGGTAAAATTATGATTAATAAAAAGGAAGTATATATCGAGTAAATGATTTCTCCCCTATTTCTGAAATAACTTTTAAAGTGTTGAAGTAAATGACAAAAAGGTACATATATAAAGGTTTTAGCATATATAAATTGCATAATAATCATATCAAACTTTTATAAACTTTAAATTTATTAATAAAAATATTCTGAACAAAAATTAGGTGATTTGTCTTTTTCAACTAATTAAGTGACTTGTATTTTCCTATGAAAAAGTAATTTATTTTCACTTGTCTCTCAACTTTTATTCCATATGAAAAAAAAAAAAAATTATTTATTTATCTTGAGAAATCATTTAATATAAAACGCATTTACAATTATTTAAAAGTATTATGAATCCCTTATGAAATTTTGACAAAACATTATTTGTGTTTGTGACAAGGAACCATTTGTTGGTGTAATTATTTTTTATTTTATTTTTTTTATTTATAAGGAAGCAAATACAGGCTCACCTGGGCTGTAGCCTGAGTGAAATTTTTGTAAAAACAAAATTTTATAATTTTCAAATTTAAAATTTAAAATTTAATTTAAAAAAAAAAAATCTTAATCCTAAGAAACAATATTGATCTAGTAATTTTTTGAACGCTTTTTGTTAAAAGAAAATAATAAATGTCCGAATTACAATTCATAGAAAAAATATATTATTGTTAAGAGTTTACTCATACCATCTTTTCTTTCATTTTAGCAGTTCTCTTCCTTCCATTTATTGAAGCTAAAATTATTCCCAAAACATATTATTTAAAGCTTTTGGTAGATTACAAATGTTCAATTAGTAAACACAAGCAACTTATTCTGAAAATATGAATATATAATCAATCAAGAACAAGGCGGCATGTAAACAGGACGTGTAGCATCGACGTGTTCGTAGTGGAACCATTCTTTACAATAAGAACTGTATCCATTCCCCAAGTTGTGTGCCTTTCCAAATGACAATGCATAAACCACACTCCTGTTGAAAATTAAATTTATTCTAAGTTAGAGATCAATAATTAAAATTCATAAACAACACTACAGAGAGAAATATTATCTACAAATTAAGGTTTGATAAAAGAAACGAGAAAAGCTTATATATGAAACAATCTCATCTACTCACTTTGTTAACATGTTGATACCATCCAATTACATAAAGACAAGTATTACTAGATTTCGAAATTATCTATGGTGGTGATTATTGATAAATAATAATGGGTAATTATTCATAAATTATGGTAATAGATAGATAAATAAATTTTTTTTGACAAATATATGATGATACATGTTATTAGGGGTGAGCACAGGTAGCAAGTAGAACCGTAACCTGCACTGTGCAGTTCCAGTCCTTTTTTTGCGAATCTACACTGTGTGGTTTGATTCCTCCAAAAAATGCAGGGTATCCAGAACCACTCACCGCTACATATTATTATGTTATTGAAGAGTCTCACTATGTCAACTGTTATGCAATCACCAAGAAACAATCACAAACAATCAAGAAACAAAAAAACACACAAACAATTAACACCGGATTTTTACCGTGGTTCACTTGCCCTATTTGAGCAAGCTACATCCACGTTGAACTCCGGAAAGGGGAGTTTGCTGCACTATGATTATAGAACAATACCTTACAGTCACGATTACAAGAATACACCCAAAACCCTAGATCAAACAACTCTGATTCAAACCCGTGATCTGCCCTAGAAATACTCTAACCTGGAAATTCCTATAACAAGAACACATTTGTTCTTCCCTTGACTAATTAACCCAAACTACTCAAGATACCCACAGATTACAACTGAAATCAGACCCAGAAAATTAAGAACCCTAATCGAACAAAGAATATGAAAAACGGCTCTCTCTCTTTTCGTTTGATCTACTATTTGTGTGAAGACTTAATCCTTTTATAGTGTTGACTGGAGACTTGATTTCAGCCGTTAGATCTTCTCTGAATCAGCGGTCAGGATCATCTTGGAGCTATCTCAAAACGACATCATTCCATTAATACTCAGTACGACGCCGTTTCAGCATTCACTCACAACATCAACAAAATGAAGTGGTAAGACAACTTCATATAAGTAATTCTGAATAAACAAACAACTTAAATATAAGGGTAGAGATTTTAGTTACCAGGATTATTAGCAACAAATCGAATTGTAGCCCATCCATTCTCAAGAAGATTAAAGGTGTTAACTTTTGGTGGATCAACCAAAGTATAAGTGAGTGGATGGGTCACGTTATCGAAATTTCCAGAGCCTATCCCGACGAGATAGAAGCTGAAGCAATGTAAATGTATTGGATGACTAGAAGCAGACCCGAGATTAGTCCCTTGGTACACAATTTCAACTGCTTCACCATACTTGATCTTCCTCGCCTTTGTGCCTTGGGCTGTGTACTCTGATACGTTCGACACATCTCCTGTGAAGTTGAATATAAAGGGTGGCTGACTTGGGAAACCTCTGTCGAAAACATTGTTGAAACTCCTGCAAAAAATTTTAGGTTTTAGCATATCGCAAAATTGAATATCATAAAGTTAGTTGAAAGCTCTTACCCGTAGTATGCTCCCAATATATCAATTTTAGGAGTATCAAAACTAACATTGTTTAAACTTGCAGCTGTCCTATCACCGGAGTCAGTATCACATGAACTGTTGGGACACAACAAACTGTTTAAAGAAACTGCTATAAAGATTTTCGTGGTGATATTTTTTGGAACATAGATGGGGTATTCTTTATTTGCTAAGCTCTTTATGCTTTTAGTGAAGTTTTGCGCAGCATCGATGTCATTGTAAGCAGGAAGAGCTGGGAAGAAAGGACATGAATGGATTGAATAATTGCCTTCATATTGAACGATTGCGGTGGCGGTGGCATATGTGACAACACTATCATGGTAATAGTGGCTAAGATTTTGATTAGCTGTGAACAAAACGTCCATTGTTTGTCCAGGAGTTATCATTGTGTAACTGGTATTTATTGGTTTTATGTATGCAGCATCTTGCGCAACAACTGTAAGGCTGTGGTTCGCGATTCCTAAAAATTGTTCTTCGTTCATCACAGCATTCACAATGCGTAGGAGATAAGTTTTATTGCACTCAACCAGAAGGCGATAGGTTGTCTCTGCAAGGTAAAATTATGATTAATAAAAAGGAAGTATACATCGAGTAAATGATTTCTCCCCTATTTCTGAAATAACTTTTTAAGTGTTAAAGTAAATGACAAAAAGGTACATATATAAAGGTTTTAGCATATATAAATTGCATAATAATCATATCAAACTTTTATAAACTTTAAATTTATTAATAAAAATATTCTGAACAAAAATTAGGTGATTTGTCTTTTTCAACTAATTAAGTGACTTGTATTTTCCTATGAAAAAGTAATTTATTTTCACTTGTCTCTCAACTTTTATTCCATATGAAAAAAAAAAAAAATTATTTATTTATCTTGAGACATCATTTAATATAAAACGCATTTACAATTATTTAAAAGTATTATGAATCCCTTATGAAATTTTGACAAAACATAATTTGTGTTTGTGACAAGGAACCATTTGTTGGTGTAATTATTTTTTATTTTATTTTTTTTATTTATAAGGAAGCAAATACAGGCTCACCTGGGCTGTAGCCTGAGTGAAATTTTTGTAAAAACAAAATTTTATAATTTTCAAATTTAAAATTTAAAATTTAATTTAAAAAAAAAAAATCTTAATCCTAAGAAACAATATTGATCTAGTAATTTTTTGAACGCTTTTTGTTAAAAGAAAATAATAAATGTCCGAATTACAATTCATAGAAAAAATATATTATTGTTAAGAGTTTACTCATACCATCTTTTCTTTCATTTTAGCAGTTCTCTTCCTTCCCTTTGTTAAAAATTCAAAAAAAATTATTTCGGCAAGATTAAAATAAGTTTAATTTATCTTGTAAGCACTAAGCACTATCTTTATTTCTTTTTTAAAAAATAAAATAAAATACACACTTTAAATGTAAAATATATATTATATTAAATAGAAATTTTTTTTTTTTTTTTTTAATCAAAACAATTTTTATCATTGAAGTAGAAATTTTTATTCATATTTTAAAAGAAAATTAGCCTTCCCAAAAATAAAAAATTCCCGTTTCACCGTTAAGAGTTCACTTTTCCATGGACAAAATTAAGATGTTCACTAATGAATTTTTAATTTCACATGATAAAGTACCGTTGGAACAATCATAAAAGTCCCCTGGTTCGCCGTTGATAGTGAATCCATCTTCGATCCTTGGATTGGCTCCAGTTGCGATTGAATTAGATAAAATCGCCATCACGTCTCCCTTGAACCACGATGCTGCCAATACATTAATATTGAAAGTCAAAAATGGTTTAGTGCTTCAGCAAATTATATAATTAGATGTAGAATTTGAATACCAAGTATGATTGTTTGTTCTTTGTAAGGCTTAGGAAACGGATAATATTTTCCACGAGGAGGTAAAATAACAATGGCACCATGGACTGTGGCTCGAGTCCAATCACTATGGGCATGCCACCAAAGAGTTCCTTCTTCAGTGGACAATATCACCTCATAAGTGAAGTTGGATCCTGCTGAATTGGACACTGTGTTATGTTCTCGGGACCATCTGACCATGGGTTCCTTGGTTGCTTCGCTCCATGCCTAGAAAAATAGAAGGAAATTTCATAAGCTATTTTGGATATTTTATTCATCATCTCTGATTAATGTTAAAGAAGAGAGAAATTAAGTTATACCAGTGAATGGTGACGCCATATGTTCCTTGATTGATGACATTAACGAACATAATATCGCCTTTTCGAGCCTGAATTGTTGGCCCTGGAAAAGTTCCATTAACAGTTAACATGCTTTTGTGCTACACATCTTTGTAAAATTCGCTTCTTTTAGCTACAAAAACATGCACAGCAATAACAAGAAATATAAAAAGAACTGTAATTGTTGTAGTATATATCTAACAGAAACAAGAAAGTTTGTTGTAAATCAATCCTAATTACTCAAACTACCAAATCAATCTCAAATCAAATCAAACGCAAGAACAAGAAATCACACAACACACAATCTACCGTGGTTCACTTGTTCAATATAGAACAAGTTACATCCACGTTGAGCTCCAGAATATGGAGCTCGTTGCAATAGGATTAATCACTTCAAAGATTACAGATTACAGACAAATCTCCTTCACTGTCAGCAACACATTCACACACTCATTCACTTCTCTTTATCTCGCAAATCTCAACAACCACTAGAGTACTCTATACCCTTTAAGGAACACTCAGCCCTCAAAAGTAAGACTCCAGCAAGATTTACATAGAGAAGAACCAGAATGAAATCTAAACCC